ATCTTGTTTTGCATATGTGGAACTTTGGTAACTCCAAAAAAGCTCACGTTCCTAATTTTCCTCCAATATTAGAATGGCTGTGGCTGTCCCCACACTCCACTGAACTATGGTGTCCTGTTCTGTGTTTTCACATGTATGTTTCATCACGCTCAACCTGACTTCCTACCAGACTACTACTTTCCACATCCGTTTCCTCCAGACATGCATTCATCCTCTATCTCTGAAACATTCTATGTGGAATCTTTCATTTCTCTCCAGCTTCCGGTCTTTTTCCGGGTCTCAGCTAACATACCACTTTCCAGACCTGAGAAACATCAAACTTAAACTACCTGTTCTTACTTTACCCATTATCTTTTCCCCTATTATATCAATAATATTTTATTATTATAATTTTTATTTTAAATATAAGTATACATTTGATAGGATTTCTTTCAATAGCTATCAGAGATAGACAATGTGAAGGTAAGAGACCAAATAACCTTTGTTCCTATAGATAAATACCAGGCCCAGAGCTTAGCACCCAATTATAAGCAGTAGATGTATTTTGTTGCCATAAGCAAATAAATAATATACTGTAAAATAAGTACCATCAAGAATCCACCCAGACTACGTCCCAAGAAGCCCTCATTTGCAGAGTTTTGATTAGAGTTCATATATTTCTAAGTTTCAAAGTTATTACCACTTTGAAAATACTGTATAACAGCAAAAACAAAACAAAACAAAAACCCTACTAAGTGAAAAATACAATTCCTGTGAAAACCACTGTGATAAACATGGAGAAAAGAGAAAGAACAGCAACAAAACCATTGAGTGAAAGTTTCTGTGATTTCAAATATCATGTCTTCACCTTTTCTCTAGCTGACAAGTAGGATGAATACAATGTTGATAACTGTCTCCCCCATTAGTCCCAACAAGGGAATCAATCCCAAGTGCAGCATCCAGTTAAAAGAAATTTTCATACAAATATCAGTCTTTGTTTTCTCTTTGGTCTAGTTTTTCAAAGTAATTACTTTGAGATTTACCCAGGGTATATGTATTTCATTGCTGAGAAATATTCAGTTAGATAAATAAATATGCCATAATTTAACTGAAGGACATTTTTGGTTGTTTCTACTTATTGGCTATTACCAATTGTGCAGGATGATGGAGGTGGAGAGAAGGTTCAGCAGTTAAGAGCTCTTTCTCATCTTCCAGAAGACCCAGGTTTAATTTCCAGCACCCACATGGCAGCTCACAACCTTATGTGACTCCAGTTTAAGGAAACCCGTTGCCTTCTTCTGGCCTCTGTAGGTACTATATGCATATTGTGATCTGACATACATGTAAGCAAATACTAATACACACTAACAAAGATAAAATAAAAATAAATAAAATCTAAAAACAACAAAACAAAACACCACCCAGCTACAAAAACTAATGTAGCTGTCTCTGTTGGACACAGATTTTTATTTCTCTTAAGTAAAAACCTGGGAGTAAAATGCCTAGGTACATGATAGAAATTTTTATTTATTTATTTATTTATTTATTAAAGATTTCTGTCTCTTCCCCGCCACCGCCTCCCATTCCCGCCCCCCCCCCCCAATTAAGTCCCCCCCGCTCCTCAGCCCGAAAAGCAATCAGGGTTCCCTGTCCTGTGGGAAGTCCAAGGAACCCCCACCTCCATCCAGATCTAGTAAGTTGAGCATCCAAACTGCCGAGGCTCCCACAAAGCCAGTGCGTGCACTGCTGAGTCATTTTCCAACAGCAGTTCCTTATCTGCCAGTAAACAGCACAAGACAACTTTCATGACTTCTTGCTAACAATATACAGTATAGTGAGTCTGCATACTTTTAGCTGTTCGCATGCCTGTGCATTGTTATCTTACTATGCTTTTTTTGTCCTGGAAGATGTAACCGACTTTCAAATGTTCCATTTAAGGCACTGATTGATTCATCCTGAGCCATCACAACTGTGAACTCATGACCACTTCCATGACTGCTGAAATATGAGCTGTCAACCTGAGCTACACTCTATACTCTGCTCCTATTCTACATGCTTTACCCTTTAGTGGAGAGATTCTGAAAAGATTGCTTAAGCAACTTTATTAGCTAAAATAGAGAGCACAAAATTTAAAAAATAGAATTATAAATATGGTCTGCATAAATATTTAAAGGAATGCTATACAAATGAAATAAGATCTTATTATTTTTACTATTTTTTATTCTTGCTATTATTTTTATTTTATTATTATTTTCAAGAGGTTTCTCTGTGTAGTCCTGGCTGTGCTGAAAAACACTCTGTAGTCCAGGCTGGCCTCAAACTCAGAGATATATCCACTTACCTCAGCCTTTGAATGCTGAGAATAAAGATGTGTGCCACTGTTGCCTGGCTTGGAATAAGCATTTTAAATACTTTACTAGACACAGTGATCTAATATCATTAGTTAACACTTAAGTGACAAAATATTATCACAGATTTTGTTAACAGGAGTGTATATACGGCTGTATTTCAACTAGTATTGTTGATACTTTCTAGATTTTTGTTGTTGCTATTTGTTTTTATATGATCAGCACTTCTTCCTCTGAGTGTCTTTCACATACAACTTAGACATGTGTGTGTCCTCAGGCAATAAAGGGTTGTCAGTGCAGCCACCTTGTTTTCTGGAATTACTCTCACTATAATCACCTTTAGTGAGTGTTTCTCAGTGCAGGACATGTAAGAAGGTTATGTTGTCTATCGTTAGATAATATAAACTATAAATCACACATCTGAGAACATGGAAACTGAGATGCATTATGAAGCACAGGAAACAAACTCTAACTCCCCTTCTTTGGCTTCTTCATGCAGCAGTTAACAGAAATGATGATCCTACAAGGGTATCTTAGGGCATGCCAGAGTCCACCAACTCCAACAGTATTCTAGTAACACTTAACTACTGTACCTTTTATGGCCCTGATTGTGGTTTACTTTAGTGAATGGTCTGTATGAGCCTGGGAAGAAGGTATATTCCACTGTTGTGCGTTGCTGAGTTCTGCTATGTCCTTACTGTTTTTCTGCCTGCTACATCTGTCTAGTTCTGGTAGAGGGTTACTGAAGCTTCCAACTCTAAGAGTAGATTCATTTATTGCTGTTTACAGGTCTGCCCATTTTTGCTTCATACATTTGGATAATGCTGTCAGAGGCACACATGTGGACATTTGTTAATTGATTTGCTGGATCCAAGGTCCTCAGCTGTAAGTAGCAGAGACTGGAAACCCAGAACCAGTTTCTCTATGAGTAGAGGGGAAGCTTTCCACCACATTTTTTTTTTTTTTAAATCACAAAGTGCTGTGGCCAATGGAAGCATTCTAGTAGTAGTCTCTTCATTTCAACTCTCTAAAGTACTCCATAGCCTGAGTCACATTTGAAGGATACTGTGATAACCTTGGTAAATTTTCTTTGCACATGATAATGCCTGAGGTTGTAACAGTATCTTAATAACTATGGCAAAACTGTAGCTCCATTTCAGCCAGATGATGACAAAGCCACAAAGATCACTAAGCACTGATAGAAGATTCCCAACATTCTTGGTATACTTCGTTTCTAAAAATTTAAATTTTATCATATATTGTCACCTGACCAGTTACTATGTGTACCTAGGGAGATAAATATTTAAACACAATTTTTTGCAGAAATTTTGTTTTTATTTTTTCTGCTCTCAGGAAAAAAGGTTCAATTAATATATGTAATCGGTCTAGAGGAAAAGCTTAAACCCCGAGTTGAACAAAAACACGTAAGACTGTCATTTCAACTGTCAATGAGTCTAAACAATGCAAAAAGTCTTCAAGGAAGTCTTTCTCTGAGAAAATTCTTATTGAAGACGTAGAAAGGGTACTTAGAATTTCCACAGTGGGTAAAAAGGGCACTCTATTTTGCCCTTAACCATCACTAAAGTGTAATATGCAAATTCTATAGTCCCTTTTACTTGCAAATATTTCATTGCAACTTGGGTCTTCCTGTTCTTCAAACCCTAACCTAGGGTGGAAGTGGGAGGATCTTCCTTAAAGTAGGAACTCAACTGAGTTGAAGAGGATTTGGGGCGAGAGATAATCAGTCCCTAGACCTGTTTGTCTAGGCCTTAAGAGAAATGCATAAATAAGGGCTCCAGGACAGAAGCAAATTAAGCAGTAGAACATGGATTAGACACTAGACAACACCAATTAAATACAACATCACGAAATACCTTAATATCTCAGATTCACAGATGAGGAAACACACAGGCAAATTAACTTTCCTTACAACTAAATTCTAGGATTAGAAATTGAGTCTCCCAGACTTTCATGACTTCCCCAACCTCCACACCGCCTCCTTTCACTACAACTGCTACACTCAGTACAGACAAGCCGGTGGGAGACCTACCGACTGCACACTATCTGGGCTGAGAGCGCCACACTCACACCAGCGCTGGGGTCTGTGCTGCGCCCATTTACCGCGGGTGCCGGTGCACCGCGCGTCGGTGCCTCCCCGCACCTCCCTGCGGCTCACCCAAAACTGATGGCGGAAGGAACAGCAGCAGGATGGCCAGCTTCGCTCCGCCGCGGCAGAAAGCTACAAGGCGCCTCACGGGGCCCGGACGCTCTGAGCTCCGAGAAGCCTTCATTTTCGTCAACACCGGTATCAAGCCCAGTAGAACGGCAGAGAGAAGGCAACCACGCCCAGGGTGCGGGAAATGACGCTGAGTTCCGGGGGGAAAAAAAGCTATTCAACACCGCTTCCCGTTGTTGGGCGGGGTCTTGTTTATTCTCATTCGTGGGCCTTCTATGGAACTATGGAATACCTCCTGGGAGATCGCTTCAGGGACAGAGACACATGATCAAAACCCAGCAAGACAGTTCCAGGATGTTTTCTAATTTTAAGTACTTTCAGTTCCAAAGAAAGCAAGGCATTATGGGAACTCGGTTTGCATATAACCCGCCTTGAAATCCGCAAGGGTAGAGCCTAACGCTAACCTGCAACTGTCTTTTAAATGGAGAGCCCTCAGTCTCAGGTCCTGTGTGATGAATTCAGATGTAAGTGCCACGGAAACAAAAATTAAAGCTGTGAGTCAATCAGACATAAATTTTATAAATATGTTAACGCAACAGCTCTCATCTTAAAAGGAATAAGAGTTTATTCTGGAGTCATTTTGCGTGACCATAACCCTGGAACAATGATTTAGGTTACTGCAAATTCCATGTCCCAATGTGGAAGCAATTCCACAAAGGTTTTAGGGTTTTACAGAGCAGCGAAAGTCTTAAATCAAGTTTAAAATACATTGGTGGGTACATCAGAGAAGCAGATATATTAATGTGGGGTAAGATTTTCTGTCGGCTCAAGCTGCTATCTGATGGCACTCTTGGCTTTTGCATTGGTAGAAGCTAGTTTTCTGCTAAATTAATAGATTCTAAAAGATTATTGTTTGCTTGCTTTGGAATTTTTGTTTGTTTGTTTTGTTTAATCTGATGTTTCAAGATGTTTGTTCTGACGCAGGAGGCAAGGAATGGCTGTTTCAGAGGCCCGGAACAAAATAAGGTAATTAGCCTGTGGCCCTGCAATATTGCAATCTCTCCATAGTTCTGAAATTCTAATCAGCCAGTCTCTGCAGACACAGATACCTTTCAGGAGTTTGCTTTCACAGGCAGATGCAGTTTCTTTTCAGAAGTTTTTGCTCACAAATATAACATCAATGTTATTCAGCCTAGATTAGGTCATTGCAGTAATGAATAGGGGAGACCAGCTAGGGGATCTTGTCATCAATCCAAGTGAGATCCGAAGACAGGTGAACAATTAATAAGATCCCAGAAATGGAATCAACAGTATTTGCACTGGATTTAGTTCCTTTCTTAATAATGATGAAGAGGAAAAGATAGATAGAAAGAAAGAAAAAAGAAAGAAGGAAGGAAGAAAGAAAGAAAGAATGAATGAATGAAGAAATAGCCCCCTACTTAGAGATGGATGGTAGTACTTATTGAAATAACAAATATAGAGGGCCAAGTTTAGGGAACAGAATTAAGAATTCAAAGATTCCAAGAGAGAAATAGACCATGTAAACAAAAACGTCCACATTCTGTTTTCAGAACTTGTGGTACTTTATTTGGTAGGAAAGACTTCGCTGATTAAACTAAATCAAGAATGTTGAAATGGGGAGGTAACTCTGACTTCATAATCCCAAGGATCCTTTTAAGAAGATGATACTAGATCAGAGAGGAAGAAAGTAAAAACAGAGACCAGAGTTGCTGCCTCCAGAGAGCAAATGCCAGCAGCCTTTATAAGGTAGAAGAAATAAACAGATTCTCCTCTGGGGCTTTCAGATGGAACCAGTCCTGGCAGCGCTTTGAGTTTAGTACTGTAGGAGTCATTTAAAAATTGAGTTATTCTCAAAAGAATATGGAAGAAGTTATATTACAGTTAGGTGGATTCAGTTCCTCAACTTTCTTACGCCGAACGCTATCAGAGTATATCATTCCCACATGGGTGTAGGCTTACTTCTTAGCACCCACTCTCTTCCTTCAGTCCTTGATGGGTTTAGCTCCTGGCTGATAATCACTTCCACCAATGTTCCTCTTATCTTAGCACTCACGGACTTAAAAGGTCATAGTTTTTTTTTTTTGTACATACTTGGCCTCATAATTTCTTTTTTGTCTATGATCTTATCCTCCACTCTACTATGCCACCAATGCCCATATAGTATCTTGGAAGTGTCACTAGAACTGTATCCTCTTCATAAGCTCAACTATCCCCTTTAACCACAAATCACACCTTTCTAGTTCACCTCCAGTGTCTTGACTCTCACAATCTCTATCTCACAATGTGTACAAGTCCATAGACCTGCCACAACTGGTCTCTTGCTAGGTTAGATTTGTGCTCCATTGTAATGATCACCATTTTGCATACTACTTTCACTTACAGTATTTTTTGGACAAAACAACATAAAATTCAATACTCTAGTATTTTGCCTCCATTACTATAAAACTAAATGTTACTACAGGAAAAAAAAAGAATTGATGGTGACTAGTCTTACTATAATGACAACTCATTTCATTTAAATCTTTGTGTTAGGGTAACAATAAAAGTCCATTAAAGGATAACTTTTTTATGTCAAGAAAAAATACCTGGCCTGAATAGATACCTAATAGTCCACTTGGGCAAAATCAACCACCGGGCCAGAAGACCACCTCTAGGAACATAGGCTCATCTTAAGCCATGCTAAAGAGTTAGGTGGAATAATTATCACTTTTATGAGATTGTGCCTTTCTTTCTAAAATTTCCATCCCCTACTGTAGTCTTTTGCAGAATATCGTTATGTTGCTTTGTAAGTCACTGACTTCTGACACACAGAAAAGGATAACTGATGTGGGAGCCCCTCTGTGTGCTGTGATTACTATTAATGAATAAAGAAACTGCCTTGTCCTGTTAATAGGGCAGAACTTAGGTAGGCAGGGAGAACTGGGCTGAATTCTGGGAGAAAGAAGGGCAGAGTCAGAGAGATGCCATGGATCCACAGCCAGAGATAGACGTGCTGAAGCTTTGCTGGTAGGCCATGACCTCGTGGTGATATACAGATTAATAGAAATGGGTTAAATTAAGATACAAGAGTTGGCCAATAAGAAGCTAGAGCTAATGGGCCAAGCAGTGATTTAATTAACAGTTTCTGTGTGGTTATTTTGGTTTTGGGTGGCTGGGACCAACAAGTGGCCTCCCCGCAACAGAACATGAGACATGATTGCTCCTGACAGTACCAATCAACATGAGAAGGTTGAGCTCTGAAGACACTCCACTCAGAGTTTGTTTTCTTCTTGGCACCATTGGCCTTTGGGCAAGGAACTACCCATATTTCAACCGCTGACAAAGTACATGGTACCCAAAAATGGATAAGCAGGACACAAGGAAAAAAACTGTCAAATCTTACCAAGACAGGGTAAGACGGTTATGAAAAATTTTTTGTCTCTGAGAATGGTCTGTCAGTTATTCTAGGCCTTAGCCAAAGTTGGTTGCTTCAACATTGCAAATGAGAGACTTTAGGTGATTGCTTAGGAAGCTAATTGTCTCTGTCATATATTGCTCGCTTTGGAAGCTGCTTGATTGTACTTCCTGCCTGCTCAAGTAATATTATCTCCCATCTCAGGCCTTTGATGGGATTGGAGATTAGATAGTCATAGTTACCACCCTCTTATAATCTAGCCAAGCCATTTGCTATACAAGACTTAGACTCCATAGGATAGAATGCTTATTAAAACATTTAGCATATGTTCTTTGCTTAATATTGTTTATGTTGGTTGTAATTCTAATTATACTTGATATCTGTTCCTAGTGTATATAGTTTTGTATAGGGTTTGGAAGCCTCTTATTTAAACAAAAGGGGGAGGTGTTGCGGGAGCACATTCCATTCCTTCAGCCAATATAGCCTTTAAACCAGCCCACTTGGGCATGGGCTCTGATACTCTAAAAGCAGTTGTAAAGCATGTGCCCACTGTTTTGCTTCTGGCTCCTGCTTCCGGCTGCTAGACTCCGTTCCCGTTCATGTAGATGACTATTATCTAAGAGAGTGATTTGTAAGTTTTCCCCTTAAATAAATAACCCTTTTATTATTCATAATTCTGAACTGGTATGGGATTATTTTATGACTTCCATCATCAAATAACTTCATCTTTCTTCTCCTTTTTTCTTTTCTTTTATTTCCTCATCTTTCCATTTTTTATTTGTTTACTATTATGTGTATGGGTGGTTTTTTTTTTTTTGCCTGTATGCATGTTTGTCTGTGCATCACTTGTCTTCCGTGCCCACAGGGGCCAAAGGAAGGATTCAGATCTCCTGCCATTGGAGTTACAGACAGTTGTAAGCATAAGGTGGGTGTTGGGATGAAACATAATCCTCTGGTGCTGAAAGCTCCAACTCTTGGCTGAAGAAACTGGAGAGGAGGTGTGGAGTCACTGAGGGCTAGACACACACACACAAACACACACACAGGTATATTATCTGAGGTACAAAGCTTAATTCCTTATTTTATTCTGCTGTTTGTTACATACATTATTTTTTCTTATTCCTTTTAAACCATCCAAGACAAAAGCCTCTATATAAAAAGGAAATTACCTTATAACCACAAGTTGTGTATTTTACAAAAGCAAATTAAAATTTTTATGCAGGAAGAAATCATATTAAGATCACAAGTTACATGTTTTTCTTAGAAGCCCACAAGTACTTAAATACTTTCCTTTGTATTAATTTCCCCACCATAACATCTTCACCTCAAAGCAATGACTCCTTTATTATTGACTAACATTTTTTTTTTATTTTTGATTTTTTGAGGCAGAGTTTCTCTGTGTAACAATCATGGCTGTCTGGGCATTTTTCTGTAAATCAGGCTGGCCTTGAACTCACATAGATCCACAGGCTTTTGCCTTCTGAGTGTTGCAATTAAATACTTGCACTGCCATAATTAACAAACTTTTAAGCAAGCAAAGTATATTTCAGCCATTTCCTTTTGAACTGGCAGGCAGTTGTTTGCAGTTTCAGTGTAGCAGATTCCTATCTTATTTCTACTCTACAAAAAGTTTAGACATGTGGTCAGCTAGTCATCTATTTTGCTTTACACACAATAGGGTCGTTTAATTTCCTTTCACAATTTTGTTTTTTCAAGCTGCATACCAAAGCCTGTGATTAATTATGGAAGCTACTTGACCAAGGAACTCAGGCTAACCTTGGTGCAGGGACATAATTGTTTTCTTTGATCAAAAGCCAGTTTTTTACAGGCAGAATCCATGGGTCTATAATACATAAACCTTCTTGCTTTTATTTTCTATCCACTGTAGACCTCACATCTAATAGAGGGGAAGGTGACTGCTAGTTACTTTAGCCTTTTTGTATCTCTTATTGGAGCAAGTGGCAGAATAACCTAAACCATTTCCCTAAACATCTTTACTTTCTTGACCCTTTGTATCTTAGGCTGACTCAGAAAGTTCAATTAAATCATTGATTCAAATAAGTATTATAGCTCTTATAAAAATCATCTTCATTATGATCTGTAAGTAAATTGCCCAGTGAGGAGTGGGATTTTCCCATAAAACAATCACATTATACTAGATAAAGTGGGATCCTTTCACATAGTAATCACACCATGCCAAATACAGCAGGAACAAGACAGCAACGAGCAAGAGGAAGCACAGCAGAAGCAAGGAGCGTTCTAAAAAAATACTCCCAGGGCTTTGCCTCTCCAGGATGAACCCATCTTAGCTTTGTTATCAGGTGGGTTATATTCCGTAAGCGCCATTGCTGACTGCAGCTCCTCTGACATGGCCACTGACACTCTGGAAAGAGCAGCAAGAACTCCTACCCAGTAAGCCATTTAGAAGCAACGCTAGCCCATATGAGCCTGGCACTGGCAAGCCTTGTCTTTCTGCCCCATCCCTTCTGCCTTGCAAAAAAAAAAAAAGTAACATTCCTAAAACGATTCCCTTATTTGGCTACTTCCTCCTCTTTAGGTTGACCACCAAAGTCCAGCAATCAACAAAAAATAAATAAAAAAAAATCTTGAA